GATTCCCCCGGGCAAAATAAACAAGTACTCAGAGGAAGTGGAATGTCAAACAAGCTCGCAGAGCACAACGCTCAGAGGAAGCAGCCCAGTGGTGGTGTTGATGGATTTAATCATCTCTAACACCGCGCATGGCCCGTGCAACCAAGCTTGGAGCAAACTTATTCCTTTGCGCTATTATCCATCACTATAAGTGACCTTGGCAGCGCACCGATCCGATCGAAATCCTGCGTCGTCTTGCGTTGATGAGCTGGGGGAGAGGGGGGGGGGGGGGGGTACGGATACGAAGGTGATCATTTTCTGTGAGTAGGCCTACTGGCATCTAAGTCACTGCCAGGCTGTAGTAATCGATTATGAAATGCCTTAATTTTAAGTGTAGTTTCTACTAATGCAAGCGAAAGCAGGTATGCTCATCCTATCAAACTGCGGGCATGCGACGACATTCGCCTTGACGCTAAACAGAACAGCTATCGCCGGGTGTGAACGATGCATGGATCCCATGCATGCGAGTAGAATATAGGCGTCTATCATGGTAACAGAACACTAGTATCGTGCGGGTTTACTGAGTCGCTGCTTCGCTGGTTGCCATAAGTGTCAATATTTTGTTTGCTTCTGCTTAAAACTGTAATGCGCACGGTGAATACAATGACAAAGGTACTTGATTGCTGGTATTGGGGAACCTAATGTTCTGTTCCTTGATACTCTCGATACATTTCTTTTGTTTCTGTTTACGAACCGCGGTATTTATGATGATCCATAGCATCATTTGTTTTTCTGCGCTCGTCTGACATTGGCAAGGTCTGCTGGCGGGTGAAACACTGGAGGGGGGGGGGGGGGGGCAGTCATTGAATTTCTTATTGGTGGAATCCCGTGCAACTCAGCGCAGGGCAATGACGTCACTGGTGCCCTGCGTCATTGGCCCCCACCGCTGTTGCCTCCATCGCCGTGGCGTAGCGGAAGCGTAGGTTAGATGCAGCATTTAAAGTGATTGGAGGCAAGACAATTAAAACTCCTTCAAAGTTTGGTTAGAGGTATCAAGCAAAGTCGTACTGATTCGGTTGGTGTTTCTTTTCTGCAAGCCGGGGCGTCACCTTTTCTAAGTGATTGGGGATTAGCCGAGGACCCAGGTGAAATGCATGTTTTGTGATAGGGTGAGCCATTTTCCGCACTTCCCCCAAACAAATTATTTAGCGACATTACGCCCTTGCGAGGAACTGTGAACCTAACCTCTCCCTAAATATTTTTTGCCGGCTCTTAGGCCACTTGATTTTAATGTACGGTAGTTTTTCAAGTTGGTGGCACGGAAAAGTCCTTTATTTTGGTACAACGGTCATCAACCGCAGGTCATGTCTGAAGAAGGTCCCTGTGATATTTATATTTTTCGGAGACTTTGTAGCATTGGGGTCAAAAGATTTGTGAAGGGGGGGGGACAACCAAATATGGTAGACGGGTGCCAAACGAGCGCCCTCACAAACTCAAAGGGAACAAACCGACTCCTGCCTACAAAATTTTAGTCTTCAAACCCTGCTGTCGCTGCTGTTTGGTTGTTTTGGAGGAGCACAGTCAAGGGGCGCTCCACTCTGCCCACGTCTTCATCTTTACCACAGCGCTCTTAAAAATTAAAATTGGCGTGATGCGTTCTCGCCGAGGTATGCTCTCATCCTCTGAAGAAAATCTCGGTTGCACACCTGCTGCTGGTACGAACTAATGTCAAGTGGGCGCGGAGGCTAGCTAAGCACAGATGAAAAGGAGCCACTTTGTCTTATCATGGGGCCATAGCGCCTGACAAGGGATCCCGTGTCAGCAAGGTAATCCAAGTCGGCAGCGGGCCCGTTTGCTAGAAAAGCAAAAAATATTTTTTGGAAGGGCCCCAAACTTCAGAGGGCCCCACAATGTCGCGTGCCTCCCCCTTGGCGAAGTCCTGGATCCGCCCCCGCCTCCTATGCTTTCTAATCGGGAATTTTATTGTCTATGCCGTTGGGCCACCCAGCCCCCTCTTCTGGCCCCGTTCAGCACCACCCTTGGTCGCTTTGGGGTCCTGTGAGCACATGATCCCTGTCAGGCGCTGTGGGCCCCCAACAGATACAGGAGCACCAACCAGTGAAAATCACTGGCCCCGACTTTGTAGCTGATTGGGAAGTAGGCCTTCAAGCCCATATAAAAACGGAGTGGAGTGTGCGGCACTGGTGTTGCCTGGGCGACATATAGACCCATACTGACCCAGGGTGCCCCTAATAGGTGCAAAAGGCCCCTGACTGTTACGTTGGTGTCCGTCCCCGCAGGCCGGGGCTCCTGAATAAGACTTCGACCAGCCCTTCATGCTTCCAGACCCTCCAATTGAGTCCTCCATCTGACCCAGAGGGTCTTCCAGGCTCTTCGGGCTTCCTCGAACACTGCCTCTGGCCTTGCCATCACGGGAATCCCGTTAGGCACTATGGATGTCTCAGCCAATGTAAATTGTCGGCTCCGGCTATGTCCCTACTTGTGAAATGTGCCCTCATGAACATGCTGGCACGCAGCCTACTGTGCGGTGCTGATGGTGCCTGATCGGCATAAAGGCACTTAGAGTCTAAACTTATATGGGTGCTTCTTATCTGAAAATGGGCTCTTTTCAGACCTGGGATGGGACCATCATGAGTTGAAGGCGATACGTAGGCCGGGGGGGGGGGGGGGGAGGGCACCGGAAGCACATATGTCACCCATCTGGTCCAGACGGGCCCTGAGGGCTCCTCGGAACGGACGATGAGGGGCTCTACTAAGAGGCCCAAGGAGTTGGCCAGAGGCTGTTTCAAGGGGTCCCGGCCCACAAATGTCCATCAGCGGACCTCTCGCGCCGATTGGGGTCCCTGGGGACAATGAGGGACCGCCAGTTGACCTGCGACCACGAATTTCGAACGTATCTGCCCCATGGGGGCCTAGGGCCCATTTCTAAAGCCGGGACCATCATGGGGCTGGCGATTGTCAGTCACAGAACCCTTTGCATTGATCGGGATCCCTGAGGTAATGAGGGACCGCCATGTTGGCCAGGGGGGTCACAGTACGCCTAACAGGGGACCATATGTTGGCAAGGGCCCCGAGCCGGCCATGGCTCTGTTTTCTGAATAAGACCAGGAGCGTGACCCCGAATGTCACAGAGCCTCTTAAGTCGACCGGGCCCGCTGATAATGACAGAAGTTATTATGAACAACAACGAAAGGATTCATAATGAGACAGCGAAAGGGCCCTGTGTCTGACACGGACCTAAAAACGAACGTGGCCCCAGACCTCCACCCTATTTCGGTCAGGGGCCAATAAGCCGTACGGGATTTACTTGTCAATTATTGGACCCCCTGTGTCGGTAAGCAATCCTTTGGCGTTAATGAGACCTCCTGCGTCGATCGAAGGTCAACTGTTCGGGTCTGAGGGTCTTGGGCTCAGGGAGGGGACCGAAGAATGATGCGTCCCTCTGCGGCCCTCCTGAACGAACACGGGGTCCTGGCCACCGTGCCTCCAAAACAGTAGCCGGCAAGTACCCCGAGTGGTGCGTCGGAACGGAAATCCCCCTCAAACCCTGACCGAGAATGGCAATGGCGCCCCTTGGTGTTCTTCTTACGGGGCTCTCTGTCCGCGAAAGGTGGGGGGTCTCATTGGTGTTCATTCCACTGAGCCCCTCAACAAACACATTCTTCGGCATTATGATGACGAATGAAGAAAACTGGGCCCTCTTCAAATAAAATCGTCCAAATGTAGCAATGTTCGGGGTGCCTTTTCACCATGAGCCTCTATCAAGCTGTGTGCCACTCCACCCCTTCTTACCAAAACTGGCTTCTCGCCTAGTTCCTGATGGAGCTTGTGGGGTCTTAGATAGGCTCTTGTTGGGCTTAAGTGTTTAGATGGGCCCTTTCCGGACCCTGAATGCCCACTTTCTCAGTTTAAAAGGTGTCATTTATTATTTAAGGAGAGCCCTACTTGAGTCTACGATGGGCCGTCCCAAGCCTTATAGGCCCCTTTCTGTGCTCACAAAACCCAGACCCAGACAAGACAGAGACTGAGATGAATCCCTTCTGAGCTTGCGATGGGCCTGTCTTGATCATAGACGGGCCTTTTTAAGTCTGCAGTGGGCCGTTTAATGCCGGAAAAGGGCCCTTACCGTGCCTAAAACTGTTATGGGGTTCCCTGCCTTAAAAGTGGTCCTTTCCGGACTTGAGATGGGCTTTCTACGCTTACTTGAATGACGCATAATATACGGATCTCTTCCACAAATCCGCCAGGGGCCCCATTTAGGCCAATTGACACGTGGGAGGAAAAAGATAGTTTTGGCCTTTATTTCATATATGGGAGACAGTTTGCCTCGGGGATACACCGCCACTGGCTTTCTGGGCCTACGATGGGCCCACTGCAAACCAGAGATGGGCCCTTCCCAGGCCCAAAAAGTGAGATAGACCTTTTCCGAATCTGAAGTTGCCCGCTTCCCAGCCTGTACCTGGATCCCTACCTGACTTGAGAAGAGCCGTTTCCGAATATATGATGGACCATTTCCAGACGTTGAGAGGACTCTCTCTGAACCTACGCTGAACCCTTTGCCCGACCTGAGATGGGCCCTTTTTGATCTTACGATTAGCCCCTTCCAGACCAGGAAGAGGCACAGTACCATGCCTGAAAGAGACATGAGTTTTTCCGGTCTTGAAGTGGGCCATTTCCAGCCTAAGATGGGTTCTTCGCAGACACGAAGCGATTTCCGTCAGAGCTTAAGATGGGCCCTTTGCGGACCAGACATGGGCCTTCTACGCTTGCTTTCATAACACAGTTAGCAACTGCCACCACATACCCGAGGGCCTATCTGAACCATATGAGTTTATGAGGGGGAGTGAAAAATTGTTTTGTTGCGCGTTTTGCGTGCGCGTTTTTGGCCCCGCCTCAAGCGATGAAGGACAGTTTGTCCCAGCTGCTCCCCCCCCCCCCCCGGATACGCCGCCGCCACTGCCTGAGATGGGATACGGATCAGGCACATTCTGCTCCTGCAGAGAGGGCTCCACCTCGGATGCCACTGAAACCATTGAGTTCAATGCTGGCGACAACGAGGTCAGCTTCCAAGAGGGCCCAACAGGAAGCGGCGTCAAGTACTGGATGCTGCCGGACCTCTTCACGGGCGAACAGGTCAGCCGCTGCTCGTCCACCTGGAGTCACGTTGTGCGGAGATACGGCCAGTACCTCACGTGCAGCCTCATCTTGTCATGCACTCATCATATGCAGCCCGCTCACGCTGGAGCGATTGACGCTCGTTCTGCACACATATGTGAGCCCTGACTGACGCTCTCGCCATGCGCGGCCAGTGTCGTGCGGCAGCCGGCCTGACATGCGTGCTATGCTCAGCTGCAGGACGAAGTTCTGATGACCGTCTTCCACCCAGATGTTTTCGTTAAGTGACACACTTTTGTCGTGATGAGTCCCAACTGACACTCGTGCGGTTTCGTCCTGATGAGTCTTAGCTGACACTCGCGCGGTTTACAACCGCTGCCGCACAGGGTGCTGACTGACGCTTTTTCTGCGCATAGATGAGCTCGTACGGAGGCCTTCTGACCATGCGTCAGCGTATTAGTCCTGACGCCGAGTGCAGACCCAGATCCCCGACTCAGAGCCAGACGTCATCATCTTTGGAGATGGGGTCGAAGTTCATTGGCGGAACACCTCACGACCCCCGGCGGACGACAGGTGAGCCCCGTAGGGTCCTACGGCACTTCAGCCTGCTTCCCCCGGAATGCTGCCGCCCAGGTTACCCCGCGACACCGAGAATCCCACGCGTTTGCCAACTAAGAGAACACAGAAAATATGTGCAAATGCGTCACACTCTTCTGGGAAAGAGGATTTAGTGTGTAATAACAGCCTAGCATGACGGTGATAGCTTGCTAGCAAAGTGGCCAGAGCGTGATAGTTTGCCCAGGAGTGGGGGAGAGTGAAGAGGGGGCTGAAACACACCGCGATGCATTCATTACTATACACCGCCGTCGGCCTAGCACTTTTTCCAATCCAAGGGGAGGAGCTCGAGCCCCACATAAATACAGGCCCGTAAAAATCGGTGATACATATTCATGGAAACATAGATACAAGTAGATACACGAAAGAAGTCAGTGCCAAGCTTCTTTGCACTCTAATTCTTACACATTCATTGGCGTCGAAATCCAAACCAGTAAAACTACAAAACGTTTGGTTAGTCAATATCGAGAGTTTGAAACACAGCAAGGGAGAACACAGCAAGAACGCAGTATGTATGATCATCAGTTTGCGGCTGACATCGCTGCCAGCCACTAACTAAACGAGCGTGTTATCAGCCATTAACTGAACGGGCGTGCTGTCAGCCACTAACTGAACGAGCGTGCTGTCAGCCACTAACTGAACGAGCGTGGTGTCATCCTCTAACTGAACGGGCGTGCTGTCAGCCACTAACTCAACAAGCGTGTTGTCAGCTACTAACTGAACGAGCGTGCTGTCAGCCACTTACTGAACGAGCGTGTTGTCAGATACTAACTGAACGAGCGTGCTGTCAGCCACTTACTGAACGAGCGTGCTGTCAGCCACTACCTGAACAAGCGTGTTGTCAGCACAACAGGAGAAGTCCCAGCGGGAGTCATAAGGGTGGGATACAGTTGAACACACTGAATACATTTTTCACGTCACGCACGTAAAGGTTTGTGTACATTAAACACGGTTTGATACCCTTGGGGAGTAAGACTTAGAAATCATTTATAAGCCAATCGCGCATGACTGGCTAGAGCTTCCGACCACGTGCACTCAGTTGCCATCTTACAAACGCAAAGGTCAAAACTCAATCAGATGGACAAATCATGAAGAGAGCAAGAGGTCAGTGATCTGTATGCGTTGCGTGCACGCAGGAGTATTGTAAACCAGTTTGCGCGTTCCATTGGCACTTAATGTGTCCCTTATCACATTTTTGCTACATTCCACTGGATCAAAGGCGACCAGTTGTACCCATCGTCCATCCTCTTTATTAATGTTTTAAGTATCCTCATTACGCTAAAAATAAACTCACAAAACATATGATTAAGTTTGTTCCAATAGCCCAGATGAGTGGTAAATAATTAGGTACAGTAGAGCGTCGTACATGGAGCGCAATTATTCATGGTGTAAGTGCACCTGCGAGCAATTTCTTTTATATAGATGAGACAGCATTCGGTTGCATTCGATTTTTTTTAAAACAGCGAGCCTCAGTTTTCACAGATCTCAATCATTCGGGGTATTGAGCGAGGAACAATTGCCAGTTATCAATACAAAACGGTGTATATCGAAGCAATAATTAAAATACGCGAAAAGTGCGTGCGCATGCAAACGAATTCACGTCAACAGGCATTGCACATCAGGCATCATCCACTCATGCGAGCGTTTTCAAATAAACGGACATCACGCATCATGCATCACCTATACATGCAGACAATTTCAATTGAAGGGAGTATTCCACATTTGTATGGGATTTTTAACTGAAATAGCCATTGTGAAGATCATTCGGTGGAGTTTACGACCCTGTCCTTTTTAAGACCTAAACTTTGCTAGTTTCTGAGCTGCACGGCCGCGAAGCTGTGCGGGCTTTTTCGGGAAAACTATCTCAAGCTCACCCAGGCATCCGTGACGTCATAATAAGGTCATTCAAATCCTGACCTTTTGTAGACCATGCGGTAATCAAGGCAAATGCAAATATTTTTGTTGGATTGTTCATTTCCAGCGTTCGTGAGCACAATTTCCACATATAATGGCCATCATTTGGCTCTATCGATGTTCTGCAAGGTACGATCACGTAATCAAACAATGACATTGAGAAGCATGTTCACTTAACGGAGAAGTTGGGCTGTCTATTTGATTACCCTTTGATTTGCATTTTCCACTCAAAAGTATACCAATTGTTATAAGTCCACTTATTTCATGATATCTGACGCTTGCCCCAACATCCTCAAATGTGGAACATGTCCTTTAAACGGAATGCTTCGTATTTGAAGATGTTGAAGCAAACATCAGATATGACGAAACGAGCTCACTTGTAACTATTCGTATACTTTTAAGTGGAAAAGACTGCTCTAAGCAATATAATGTCGCCGTTAGTAAATATGTTCCTCCATACGTCATTGTTTGATGGCGTCGTAGTACATTGCACAACATTTATTCAGGGCCAAGTGACTGCCGGCATATCTGGAAATCGTGCTCACGAATGCCAAATGGGAGCGACTGAGCCATTCTATTTTTCTCGACCTTCATTGGTGCATGGCTTATAGAATGACAACATTCGAATCACGTTATTGTGGTGTCATGAATGCCAATGTGACCGTGAAATACTCTCCTCGAAATACTCTCCCCATTTTCGCGGGCGTATAGCTCATAATTCAGGGGGGTTAAGGTCTTAGAAGGGCAGGGCTGTAAACTGACTGCACCAAAAAGTCGTTAAGATGATAATTTCATTTGGAAATCCCATAGCAATGTGGAGCGTTCCCCTTAAGCACTCATCGCGCTTAACGCATCAGATCATTCATACATCTAAGCTACTTTAAGCAAGCGCGCATCACGCAATAAGGCACTATTCACGTACGCATAATCGGCCATAAGGAGCGCTATGCGTTTTAGTGTGCTTGCCGACTTCTTATGAGGATGGATTGACTTATTTTCCTGTGTGCATGGTCCTGTGCCCTGTATATGACTTTCAGCTCTAAGAGGGGTCAGCGTCTCGTATTTTAAGTGGGTGGAGAATGACCAATCTGGCCAATGGTCAATTAGGGCAATTAGGAACACAAATAATCATAAGAGCAATTAAGGGCGTGATACCACTTGCCTCGCCGCAGTGACTACACCGATGGTGTTAGCACAGCTCCAACACCGACTAAAGTGTCTCCATCGTCATTGTTTGCAGGGCCAGACCAACGCAAGGCTTTTTGCAAATGTCGAACTGAGTCAGGGAACAGTGTAACACAATTGCCTTTTCGTCATCTAACAGTCCACTTTGTGTTATTATGCCAGCCGCCGTCCATAAGTTACACACAACCGCCCGGTCCGTATCCGCCGGACTGGCCGGCCGGGTAACTCACCATCGGTCGAGTGGCGTGCCATTGCACCAGCCAGCCGCCGTCCATAAGTCACACACAACCGCCCTGTCGTATCCGCCGGACTGGCCGGCCGGGTAACTCACCATCGGTTGAGTGGCGTGCCATTGCACCAGCCAGCCGCCGGCTGAGTTACGTGCAGCTGCTAGACTCGTCCCCGTGCAACCTCGCGCATCGTGACAAGCAGAACACTCACCACATGCCATCTGCTGCGCTGGAACCGAACTATGTATACCATCCGCAATGTGGTTCGATGCATCCTTGAAATCACCATCATCCAGGGTAATAGATGCCGAGTAGAACGAAGTGGAAGTGCAAACAACTGCAGCATTAATCAGAATTACAATAGATATGCGATGTAGGCCAGATTTCTAGGTTATACTGAACATTTGGCAGCCGGTGTTTGGGTGTAGCGTGGCGCAGGTGCCACAGTGGTGAATGTATTTAAAGTTGATGTCCTTGCCCGTGTGATGTATGTGCTATCCTGGTAGTGCCTCCTTCACTGCCGGGTCCTCGGCGCGACAGACTGTGCTGCGCATCGGGGCGGAGCTGACCTCACCGTCTCGGTCAGTCTTTCATGGCGCCAGCTGGCAGTCGTACGCGGTGCGGCTGTCGTCGGGGCACTCATGGACCGACAGCTCGGGCGCGCCGGCGTCGCGTGACTTCCTGATGACAGTGCTCAGCAACGTGGAGGGCATCGCCATCCGAGCCGGGCCTCAGTCCGCCGGCGGCGTGCTCAACTCCCGCCTGAGGAACGTGGTGCTGGGAACAGCCTCGGCCGTCCCGCTCGTACGTAGCCGTCGCTACTGTCGCGCTCGCCGCTCGTGGCTCTGGGATTTTGAAGCACGTGGGCGTTTGCGTGTGCAATGCTATTTCACACGTCGGGGATAATATTATGTTGCTATGGTGCTGATGGGCAGCATGACAAGCAGGATTCTTGTCGACTCCTATATTCAAATCCGGAAAGACTTTCAAGGTTGGCAAATTTCCTTTCAGTGCATGATTTATACTAAACTAAAGTAGTCTGCTCAGGTTATTGACAATGCCGTTGAAGTGCAGCGCTGACATCCGTCCATGGCAGTCAACACCAGATGTTGACGGCGCAGAGCAGCGGCTGATAGACGGGACCGGGGACTGACGCTTCTGTTGTCCCTCCATAGGTTCCGAGCCTGATTAAGGTGGACATAGTGGAGAATTGCAGATGCCCAGCTGAATACAAAGGAATCTCATGTCAGGTAAGTCCGGTCAGAGAGCTGCAGCCACCTCCTCAGGCGACGGCTGAGTACGCACGCTGTTGATGCACATTCTTAGAAGCCAAGGGTTGATGAGGCTAGGTTTGGGAGATCACGCCATTTAGAAACATTCCCTGCTGAAAACAGCGACGAGCAGCTGCGCGCGGCATGGTTGGCTCTCCAGATGAACGCAACATTTCAGCAGGCAGCGTTCCTTGAACTGAGATCCGAGCCTAAAACAGCCTGGTGCGTGCGTCCAGTTCACGGCATCGGCGTCACACGGGTCCTTCGGATTTGAACAAAGTTGGCAGTTTCTAACATGATCTGTCCGCCCACGTGTCTAGTCCTGTTCCGATGGCTATTACTTGGACAAGGACCGCAACGCCTGCGTGGACTGCCCGTGCAACGGCAATGCTAGGTCCTGCTCGGTTGACGAGGATGGCGCTGTGCAGTGCCAGTGCAACACCAACTACTCTGGCGCCAACTGCGAGATAGGCGGTGAGTCGGCGACAGGCCGCGCGCTGCGCGAAACTCAAATGAATGACGGCCACCGAAGGTGTCACGACCAGGTGTGGAATCGGAGAGCTACTGACCCGACAGGCAGCTGATGCCCTTCCCAGCACCCCTTGTGAGCTCCGGTTGGTCTGGACGTTATATGAGCAACTCCTTTTTTGGCTGTGGGTCGGATGATTGAAAGATTCCGCTCGCTGTCGGGTGTTCAAGCTCCACGCAGATAGGCTTCCTTCCATCGGTCCCATTGTCTTGCTGCCATTGAGATCACAAGCCAAGCCTGTAGCGTCAACTGATCGGTAGTGTTATTGTTTCAACGTCCCGACCCGGCAAGTCAGCCAATTTAATGACTAGCCATTGATCCACCATGGGGTTTTCAGCAAGAGAAGGGAAGTTCCTCAAAAGCTACGCTTTAATTTTACATAATGTTTCACAAATAAACTCGTTGATCAGGCATGGTGCTCCTAACAAACGTCAAACTTGAAGGCTATGAAAACTCTGCAGAACGCCAGTTGAAATGCGACCCTGATAAGAGGCCTTCTCGAGCAAAGTTTTCTTAACTTATTCTATCCACTATTCATGGGGCTGTGCCTAATCTGCTACCCATCCACTGCCTATTATTCTCACGGGGAGCCATCAAAAAGTCCGGGGTCGCAGCGTTCAGTGTTCATATCGGCCGGGATCGCAGCATCCGGTATTCATAACGTCCAGAAAACGTCCAATTCCGTGCCTATTGGGGGCGTTCATAAGGTCCAGGGACACAACGTCCAGAGTTGCAAAATCCAGAGTCGTAAAGTTCGGTGTTGAAAACGTCCAGTGTCCATGCCAATCAGGCTAGTTTGGATCCCTGTTGCTAGATAACACTACAGAAACATATTTGAGTCCTGCCGCTATTTCCCTCTTTTGTCAACAGATGGCACAGTCGACGTGGCATTCCACTGATAATCACGTGATGCTTACAGTCAAGTATGGTTACTATAAATTACCTAGACACCTGGCGGCCGTGTCCGGCCTGGGCGCGGCCGCGCCCCCGGGCTTACCGGCGGACTGGGCGCAGACGCGCCGGGCGGCGGCGCGGCCGGAGGCATGGCGGACGGCGCGGGCTCGGCGGGGACCGCTGCGCCCGCGGGGTAAGCGGGATCTCCCGCCCCGCCGCTGCTGCCGGGGCCCCGAATGCCGGGGTACACTCGGTTGCTCAGGGGTCCTTCATATTGGTGTCGGGTTCTTCATATGGTTTTTCCACTTGCTTGGAGTACCCCATGCTGTTGCTGGGGCCCCATATAAGGTCACGCCACGAGGCACTCGACGCTCAGTGGCCTGCTCATTGGCCAATGGCTCATTTCCTGTTCATCTTATTTTCCGACCCTTTAGTTATCGGAGCTATCATCGTTAACCTGCCCAGGCACTCTTGGCCACACAGGGGCGTTAATTCATGTACACTGATCTTCGGTTATTACCCTTTGCACGAGGGATCCTGTACTCCGGCTGGACCCCATATGTTAACCTGCAGGGGTGTTCCCGATCGTTCAGGTGTCCCACCATATTGGTGTAAGGTACTTCTCATCTGTTATGAGGACCCTTCACTATTCACTGGAGTCTCTTTGTTGGTCCGCCACGGCGGTTTCGATTGCTCGAGTGTCGTCCTTATTAGTATCGGGTTTTTCCATATTATAGGAGAGCCTACGCCGTTGACGGGGACATAAATCTTAATCATTTTTATTGGAGCTTTATTTCTTACCGACTGATGGCTGAATTTACGGCTATGCCGATTACGCCGATGAATTCGTTCTTGTCATTGTCGAACATAATTTTACACGCCGACGACGTCGTGCACTTTATTTCCGCTTTTTATTGTTACGCTTTAATAAATTTTGAAAGATGAGATATTCTGTATTCTCTTGCAACAGACAAAGCAAAAACTCTGTATTAGTCCTCAGCCATCTGCTGATCCCATCGACTACCCCGCTAACCGTATATAAGCCAGGATTCAAGCTTTGCCTGGTTTTGATGGTATTTAGAAGCCAATTGAAGTGTATGCTGCCATGTTTTCTTCGAAATATTTAGCATTAAAATGACAGGATCCACCATGTTCCGGCGAAAATGAACAAGCTCCATGCATTTGCATACGAAGCACGTCTAGTTTTCTAGGGCTGTGCGCAGTAAGCCAGGCCCCCGTATACAAACGGCATGCATAATAGTATTAAAACTCAGTTTACCGGAATGCGAGGATTTTGGTGGATATAATCCTGAACCCTAGGGAGCTAACAGAGTAGCAGGCCCTCTCCAGTTTTCTAGCATTTTCGCAGTGCACATGTGTGGAGATTCAGTTACCGTGAAGTTTACAGCTTCCGATCACTCCGATGAGGTGTCGTGCTAGTTCTGGCCGGTGCTTTTGACCGAATCGCAAAAAGTGTTTAATAATGATGTATATATATATATATATATATATATATATATATATGTTTGTGTGTGTTTTTATGACGACAGACACACGAATTCGCAGATCTTGCACAGTGCATGACTGCTGAATGACTCTTCTATTTATCTGGCTCTTCATTTCATTTCGGCACCCTTAACACCTTAAGTCAGAGCATAAAACACAAGCATGCAAACCAACAATAAACTTTTCACTGAACAGCACTCACTGCCGTTTTGACTTGGCAACAACAAACAATTCTTTAGCCGTGCAGAAGATATTATTAACACCACAAACTGTGAATAACACAATGAACACAGCAAATCACAATACATGCCAATTACACAATGCCCGCGCCATTCATCAGTGTCTTGTTCCTTGTCCAAGTGAGTTATTTGTGATGCTGCTCCAGAGAGATAATTCAGAAGTTGGATTCATTTCTTTTTTGCTTAGAAGTCGTTTGTGGTCATGGATGAGAAATGCATCCAGAATGTTGAGTTTCATTGTTTTGTGTGTAGATGACAGAATTGCAGTGTTTTGTGTAAGCGCTCGCGCGCGAGAAGAGCATTGCGGTCGGGCTGTACGTGATTCCTTGGTGCCCCCTCCGTGAGGTGCTCTGTGAGACGTCGGAACACAAATGTTGCAGCTATACCTTTGCAGTTTACGGAACCTTGCAGCAGCACCTGGCAGCGGTCCACAGACGGCTGGAAATGACCACGTATCGAAATCGGTACATTGCAACGCTTTATGCGGTCAATGGGTATGCGTGTAAAAGGTGTCGGACGTTGCCCTTGCCCTTGCCGGACGTTTCACCAGTGCAATTTTTAGATTGGTAGTCGGGACGAGTTACGGGAAGGCGCAATGGGAAGGCGCAATGGCGTAATCTCTCTTGCTCGTAATGCTGCAACTGCTAAATCCGTTCAGAGAATCAACTGGTCAGCCAACTAAATTGCATCGGAAAAACGTTCCGGTCAGTAGCTGAAGAGCATTACGTCCCATCTGGGGCTCCCAGCGGCTCTTAGTCTATTGATAGCCCCCAGGACCGTGCAGAAACCCTCAGAAGGATGCATCACAACCGGTCCCCTTCTCCATGCGACTGGCCCTCTAACTGAGACATCCAGCAACGGATCGGCGCAGGGGCCCTCGCTAATACAGACTACTGGCACAGGAAGTCCAATCATTGGTAGCGGGACACTAATTCACCTTATCGGTCACTGGTTGAAATGGTGCAGAGGATCCCTTGTCCGGTTCTAGTGTCCCTAGCTGGCAAAGACCTCTCCACAGTCTCATTGTACATGAGAACCCCTTTTGCTATTTCTCATGAATCCGTTCATTGTCAGGAGGATCCAGACCAGCACAATAGGCCCTTCCACATGCGGGGGTCCCATCATCGCCCCTATTCAGCAAATGTGCTCTTGGCCGATCTGGGGCTCATTGCCGACACATGGCCTCCTGCTAGGAGATGTGGTCACTGACCAGCAGTGTGTGTCCTTCATTGTTTCAGGTGTCCCGACTAATGTAGGATGCCCTCCAATTGGCATTTAGATATCTTGGCCTTGTCTGTGGTCGGAAAATAACCCCAAGGCCCCAGAAAAGCACGGAACGGGCTGTTCGATATGGCTGTTCTCAGTCAGTGGCTTCAAATAGAGACACAGTCACACGGGTATCCGATCAGTGCTAGAGCTACTCTTATATTTTAGGGTCTGGCCTTCGGGCTGTGATCCCTTCATGCGGCCTCTCGCCTGCCCTTCGGACCCTTTAATCAGGCTCTTGATCTTCGGCCCCAAGGGACCAAAAAAGGACCTTCGGAACCCATGGGACCCTCGGAGCCTAAGACGGAGGTAGGGGGACGGGGGGAGTTGTGCTTAATTCGGGTCCCCGTGAAAATGAAGCTTTAGGGGCCATTCAAAGTGCCCCTGGAATCTTGCCTCGCCTTAAAATGAATGTTTGAGCTGATCGTGGCGTTCCAGTTTAAAATAGGGGCTCATAAAATAAAGGTATGATGCCCTGCAATCAAGGTCATTGCTGCCTTTTCACCGGAGGCGCCGGACCGGGATTTCAGCGGTGCAAGGCATGACAATTGTGGTGCCACTGTATTGCCTGTTTCTCTACACAGGGTGCCCCTTCCCTGAACGGTGCGATTCAGAATTTTTCCAAAGTGAAAGGCACACCGATTGTAATGGCGCTGTACTTTGGTGACCTTTTAAAGCTATGGTTTTAAGCTTTGCAAATGGCCCGCTTTAATTTAGTACCCCTTGACTATCAAGACGATGTCGCCCTGCAAGAACGGTTTTTGTACCTCCTTGCCTAAACGTCCCATCTAGGATTTTACCAGGGCGGAAAGCTCGACATAGTTATGCCCCTGGAACTAATGGCTCTTTCAGAATAAAGGGTTATAATCCTTTCCGGTACTCTCTGGAATTGGGTGCTTCTTGAAAATAAAGGCTATTTTGCCTCGAAATGAAGGATTTGGTGCTCCCTCACCGCGTGGGCCGACGCAGGGTTTCGTGGAGGCCACGGCACAAACGTCGTGGTGCCCCTGCAATTTGGTATCCCATAAAAATCTAGGTTATGTGTTTCTGAAATGAAGGTATTGTTGCCCCTTTGCGATGAGATTTGGTGCCTCTTCAGGGCATTCAAACCTCATTGGGCCCAAGGGCGAGGGAAATGACCCCCTGGTCCCTACCCCTCTGAACCCGCCCCTGCTTTGTGGTACCTCAGGAAGTGTGTGCCTCTGGAAAATAAAAGCTAAGATGCCCGGTAATGAAGTTTTTTGGTGCTCCCTAGTGGAATAGGCAGATCGAGAATTTGGCATGTGACCCCTTATCCATAGATATTGAACCCTGTTTAAAACCAAGGCTTTGGGAAATTTGAACTGCCCACTTGAATACCCTGGCTCTTTAAAATAAAGGTTATGGTGCTGCAAAATGGAAGTTATGGTGCTCCAAACTGTCCATTTTGGTACCCCCCTAGCCCAGGGGGCCAGTCCAGGATTTCGTCAGGGTAGGAAGCACAACATTGCCGTATCCCTGAAATTTGGTGCCCTCAGAAAATGAAGGGTGTGGGCCGGTTATGGTGTTCACGGATTTTAGTGCCTATGGAAAATTAATATTTGTGGTCACTTGTGGCGGCCGTTAAATTTTGACTCCTTTTGAAAATAAAGGTCATGTAGATACGAAATTAAGATTTTACTACCGCTTCACTATGATATTTTGTTGCCCCCTCACCTCAAGAGACCAGGGGCATAGCCCCACCCCACCCCCACCCCCTACTTCTATGTATCCGCCACCTCATCGCATCACCGCCTCAAAGCGTAGCCCGTTATTTCTTCCTAATTTGTCATTCGGCTCCTCGCGAAAGCCCCATTTATGCCACTGTGGCGTGGATCTGAAGATATACCGTGTTTTGTTCATGACTGCAAAACCCAATTCTATGTTCCGAAAAGTGTTGTTGTACATGCTACGTGGCTGGCGCCTCCTTTGCACGAGACGTGTGTACTGGGCCATGCTGCCTCTAAACAATCCCGCGCAGGCTCTAAGCGCATGTTTCCTTCGAGTCAAC